GGGAATGCACCCTGGCACATCTCAGATCCAATCTACATCACTTTCAGGGCAGACTCCAGTATCAAGATACTCCTCTGCTCCTATCCAATCTGCCTATGGATTTGTACCAGGGAAAAAAGAGCCATGGAAACTATCCCCACCAATTGCTTCTCCTCTTTCTGCACACCTAATCTTGTCCTTTTTGCATCTTCACAGCATCCTGCATCTCACACCAGAACCTCTTCCAGACAGCTCCTGTCGCTCGGGCTAAGATGCCCGAGTTTCTTCTCCAAAACTAACCTATACATCCTTTGAAGGCAAGAAGTCTGGCCTTTTTGCTGTTCATCCCCGACTACTCCCCATGCAATGGTTATGGATTGCTACAACAGGGCACACAGTCACGGGCTGGAGAGGGAGCAATGGCAAATTGAGGTTAAAACCAGGGGAATCAGGTCCTAGAACTGGCACTGAAATGGCCACAAAGGACTCTCCAGCAATCCCAGCTCTGCTGCCAGCATCTCCCACCGTGCTGCCCAGCGAGCAGATGGAAAGCGAGGGTAAAAAAAAAATCCCACCACCACCCTCCCTGGCCCCTCGCCAGCCTGTTAATAAACATATGAAATAGCCCTAGGGTGTCAGAGCTCGCAGCAGCCCCTGGACAGACCTTCCCCGGTCTGAGCAGCGGCCACTTAATCTTGTTCTTGGGATCCACATCAGCTTTTACCTTTCCCCGCGGGGCTACTTGATTTTCTAGAGCTCTCTCATGCAAGGTATAAACCTCGTTTGGACACTGTGTTTGTTTCCGAGGGAGGTAAGATAAGATTTCTTTTGGCAGAGGGACGAGGCCGGGTTCCCTCCCGCTCACGTAACTCTCCAGCAGCTCAAGTGTGCAGCAAATATCGATGGCTGAGCTGAGACTACGCGGAGACGCTGCATCTGCCGAGCCCTGCTGGCGGGGTCCCTGGTCTGCCTCCCCGGGGATGTCTCCGGAGAAACCACGTCTGAGAGATGCTACCCCCTGGTCCTGGAGCTCTGCTTCCATCAGGACCTGCCCGTGGACCCCGTGTCGGGCAGAGCTTGCTGAGGTGCAGCCCTCACCTGCTGAGACAGCACGGCTGTCTCCCAAGCTGTCTGTCCATCCTGGGATGTCTCCTCGGGCTCGCTGCTTACTCCTGCTCTTCCTCCAGTTGGGTTCTCTGCTGTAACTTCATGTGAACCATCCATCCGCACCTTCACCCTCCTTCCAGTGAGCTTGGGCACGGAGAAGCTCTGAAATACTACACCCCCCCCCACCCAGGGTTTGACTGCACAATGACCTGGAATTTGGCACAGTTGGAGGAAAGGGCACCTGCGAAGCTGGGAAACAGGTCCCAGAGCCCCTTTTCCAGCTCCAGTAACCCTCCCGTCAAGCGCAAGCAAGCCCAGCACAGCCCCAGTTGCTCCAGCTAAGATCAGGCTCCCATCCCATCTGCCTCCACGCCTCGCCGGGCACAGACGTTTCCCCTCAGATGGGGATTTGTCACAGTCCCTGTAAGCAGCAGGGCTAATCCCGGGTGGCAGCTGGTTCGTCTCCAGCTTCACAGGTCTGGATTTGAGCCAACACTGAAAGCTTTCACAGGAGTGGGAAGGGGGCCCGGGCAGGCAGGACGGGTGCTTGGGGAAGGCCACAGCCCCACAGGTCCCACCGGGGTCACCCAGAGCTGTTCCTGAGCCCCCCCCATACCTCAGGGCTCCCCAGCTGTCCTGTGGTCCCGCTGCCCCGAGGGACCTCCCTGGGGACCCCACCACTCACCGTCACGCCGGTCCCCGCTTCTGTTTGTGGCCGACTGCCGTTCCCAGGCAACGGCTGCGCCCA